AGCTCTCTAAGCTGATAAAAAGGTTTCTGAGAAGCTCTCTATTGCACTCGTTTAGATTTCCAAGTGTGCCTGTCCTGCAGCACTCTCTTTCTAATTTTTATTTATGCTGATGCGGTAATATCTTTTTATTCTCTTTTCCTTTGATTACAGTTTTTGTACTTGACAGCTACTGTTGCACTGCCGCCTTCAACGGGTTGAGCACACTCCCTCATTGCCCCCTTCATTTGCTGCCTTTGTTTTCTGGGCCCTGGGAGGAGGCAGGGTCAAAACACGTGTCCCTAACACAAAGCTGTTTCCAAGCTTCCAAAAATCTCTCTCTATTGCACAGAAAAAAGCTTTAGCATCAGTGCAGACCTTTCTTTTTCTGTTGTCAACAGCTCCGCTGGACAGAAATCTATCATTCACACAGTGCCTTTCCTTTGAAATTCAATTAGTTTCACTGCCAGTATCTCCTTAAGACAGTTTAAAGGAAAATTACAGAAATACTGTGCTGCCACCTTTCACAGTGATTAAGTCATATCATATTTTATGCTCACTTCTTAAAATTATTTTATTAACGCAAGCTGTTCATATACTGGGATTCTGATCTGCATTATAAATCTTTTCCATTTAGTTGACTCGTTTGCTGTATGCTTTGTATATTAATTTTGTGCAGACGAGACTTAAAACTTTTTTGAACTTTACGGTCTGACAGCTCCATCCTCCATATCCCTGATCTTCTAGCCCAGCGCGGCATGATCTGAGAGTAGGTTTTTAGCTGACAAAATAGAAAAGTAGTAGTTGCTGTGGTCATGAAGCCCCCTGCATAGTGGAGTGGTGCAGGAGAGGGTGATGCCTGCACACAGATAACTCACTTGTGGGCCAGCAAGATAGCGCATCAACCATTTTATCTACCAATCTCCGTTTCACATAAAATAAACATACTGGGTGTCATTAAGTGCACCTTCAGATCAATGATTTTTGCAAATGACATTCAAGTACCGTTCGAGTAGTGCATTTTTGCTGATAAAAGCAAATTAAATTAGCACAACTACAAGTGTGCTGATAAAAACTAAAACCGAACAGCAGCACCATTAGCTAACAAAGTAATATTTTCTCTTTACTGCTTTCTGCCATTTAGTTATTATCCTATTGGAAATCTAATTATAATCCTTTTACTCCCTAGTCAAACTTCACAGTTTTTGCAAGCTTAGCACTGACAAGTGATTTCATTACATTTGATTGCCCGCGCCCAGATTGACTTAACTTCACTCGGAGACCTAAAAGCCCTCTCAGTTTCTCAGATTCCCTGTTTGCACATTACAGCAACAGCTCCTTTAATTAATTAGCATGAACAGCAGTAACATGAACTGCTGAACAGAAAATAACATCATTTTATGATCGCGGGGAGACTTCTCCTTTTGCATGTTTATACCTTAGTTAACTTTTGTATTACTATATTTCATTGTTAGGGGATATTGGAACAATCAGCAAAGCAATGTTATCTTAAAATTTTAAAAAATAGATGTTACCATAATACCTGATGATAACAATTTACACAAAATAAAAGACTCTAAATTTCAAGAAGGAGGTGGCAGCATAGGCAGCGGGACTTCCCCGAGGTGCAAACATGGTTCAGAGCAAGTGTGGTTCACTGTGCCTGCCCCAGCAGGGTGACCCTGCGCTGCTGCTGCTGCTTTTGTTTGTGAAATAACCTGGCAGAGATCTAGCATCAAAACTCCCACTAACAGTGAATAACTTTTTAAAAATCTCTTTGCCAAAAATGAAAGGCCATTGAAGTTTAGAATGTATTTGGAATGTTGTTATTTAGAAAACTGGGCTATATTTTTTCAATACTCTGACATAACCAGGCAGTTTTCATATCCAGCCTATGGTAAAAAAGGCACCAGGGGGTAGAAAAGGGAGGGATGGTGTTTTCACAGGAGTTAACAACTTTGCTGCTGTATCAAATCTACCTCCAAATGCTGCAGTCCGCTGAAGCCACCCACACTATGGAATTTCAGAGTACTCTACAGTTGTGAGAGACAAATTCAGCAACTTGAAAATTGCAGTGCTATTGTCTTGGCCTTGTTTTCACTGAAAAAAATGTTCAGGCCCTTACGATTTTACATAACCCTGTGATGAGAAACTCTTGAGGCTAAACTAAACAGAGCCCTGACATTTTCCTTGTGAGTTCTTCGCTGTCGTCTTCATTTTACTCTTAGGCCTACTGTACGTCCTCCCACCCAAGCCATGCTCTGTCCCTAGTGTGTGTCCTGCTCTGGATGCTCTGAATTATTAAAACCCTAGGAGTTACCTGGTGCTGTATCACACTGCAGTGTTTCTAGAAAACCTCTTTCACAGTTTGAGTGCAATCACCTGAATGTCGTATCTGTGCAGACAGCAGCCCCGTGCTGCTGAAAGCTGCCTCATCAGCTGCTAACCAGGACAAGGGTCCTCTTTAGTGACTGACCATGGGATGATTGCGCTCGGTGGCTACGTGGCTCCTCTGCTGCCAGTACAAATGCAGGGCTTTAAAAATAAAAACATTGCTGATCTTAGTCTCGATGTTATTCCTACTTTTGGTACACAGTGTTTTTCTGAATTGCACATACACACACATACGAGGGAGGAAGCAGAGATTTTGTGATCTACTGGAAACAGAAGGTGGGGAAGTTTCCCCAGCACACTGTTGAGTGCGAAGGTCCATACCTTTCTATTCTTACAAAGGACTAAAACATTTATCCAATAATTCAATGTCAGTAGGCTTAAATATTTCCCAAGCAGGAAATACCTCCCTGAGCAGGAGTGTTATCTCCCTATCTACTCAAACTGACAACAGCAGTCCAGCATCTGCATAGTTTGTATTCAGTGAAAGTATTCTTGTCCTTGGCTATTGTTACTCAGTACTAATCCTGTTTTCTGTACGAGTTTTTGTGTCTACCCATACGGATGTGGAAATATTTGACAGAGCTAACTCAGTAGTCCTCATCACAAAACAAGTGGGGAAGAAACCCCAACTGCAGCACCTCCACGAGTGCACAGCACTGAAGGTTGGGTGCTGTGGTCTGCAGGAAGGAGAGGCCTGGTGCTGCTCAGACAGCACTGGACATCAGAGGCTGCACATCTGCAGAGGAGCAAAAGGGGTGATATGAAAGAGCAAGAGATTAAAAGGAAGCAAACCAAACTTCATTAGTGCTGCTGCTCTCAGAAGCAGCATTTATTGTTCACATTATTCTGTGGGTCTAGAGGAAGCTGCCCTGCTCACAATGTGTCAGTTCTTTTCTCTTTCACTGCTCAGTTTGGAAACTACTTACAGAAAAATGGAAGAGAAATGGGTTGCTGGATAGGCAAAGAAGTAACTTTTACTCACTGTTGTCATTCAGCTGGCCTGAAAACATGAAAACTGTCTGCAATCTGGGTCTTGGGGTTTTTTTCGTGGTAGTGAAGGGATCCTTTCCTGTGGTGGTTTTTTTTTGTAGTAATTGCTCTGGTCCTTACCCCAGTAGCAGGGGCCTGGGTGCAGCTGCCTTTCAGGCCACTCAGCACTCCTCTTTGCTAAGAGGTTTAGGGAGAGAGGGTTTTTTGAGGGATTTCATCCATGAGAGAAGCAAATGCAAACTCTTCTCTGATTTTTTTTTTCTTCTGCAAAATAAAGAGACTGATTCAAACCAACTATCCCCAGCTTTTAAGGCAGATTTACTGTTGCAGCATTGTATTTTCCATGAGTCCCTGCACCCAAAGCTTGGCTTGGCCCTGATCTGACTGAAAGGCTGACTGTGTTATGTAGCCTAGGAAGGGAGGAGAGATCAGCTCCACACCAGCGTACGTACAGTGTTGTATAAGACTGCTTCAACCCCTCAAGCAGGAGCTGTGCAAAGCCCCTGAGAGCGCCCAGGTCTGGCACGTGGCTGCCCTCGCCCCTCCTGCCACTCCTCCACTGCAGAAACTCTGCAACGACTCAGCTCTACCTAACCTTTATTTTAGCAGCTACCTCCCAACAACTCCTTCATCTAAATTGGCGAAGTGCAATTATTTTCAGTTTATTATTTCATCTCTGCTACCCATATTCTCTGCAATACGTAGTGCTGGGTTTTATTTTCTTTTTAATTCCACGAGTAATTTACAGTTACTGACACAACAAATTTATCCTGGTTTTCTCGTGATGTAGCCGATCCCAAATTTCAGATTTATGACCTTTTCTTCCACATTGCAGTGTGCTGAAGGCACCTGAGCAATCCCTCGCCATAGCTGGGTCAGTTAATCACAGCTAACTGGCTGTGCCGCATTGCTCCCCTTCCAGGACCGGATTTGCACACCAGCATCGCTAGGACGTGTTTCTTTATGCAAGTTGTGAGGGTGCACAGGGAAGTTTTGTTTTAAAGTGCTTTTATGTAAATACAGCTGAATTACTGACTTAAAACAAAGACATTGCAAACAAAGCCTCAGAAAGGATTCGGAAACATCAGAGATGCTGAATAGGCTGGGGAAAAAAAAAAAAGGAAAGGAAAAAAGAAGAAGAAAGTGAATAAATGTGCAGATGATAATTATTGCTTTTGGATTTGTCCTTTGTACACACATTAAAACCTTGAAAGAAGACGGCGAACGATGATACTGTTGCTGAAAGAGAGTGTGCGAGATGAATGTATACCCTGGACTAACAACTTGGGAAAGACAACACTATCCTGAGGGAAAATTACAATTATCAACATAGGCTCTGACTCACTGAGAAACTGAGAGATCTTTGCTTGTCTTATACATTGTGAAGGGGAAGAAAAATCCTTTCTAAATGTCTTGCTTATTAAGCCAGTCATGCCTTTCACTGTAGGTTGTAAAGCAGTATAACGTGCACAGGGGGCTCATAAGCATATTTTAGTGTTAGGGAATATCATTTATACAGTTTTTATATTGTCAATATTACCCCTAGAGAATGAGATTAGGCTTTAAACTACTGTAAATCTACGCTTTTGCTCACCTTTGTCTAATTTCATTTTTTAATAGAATGAAGCCCACATAAATGAATATTTGATTAAGGGATAAACCTAATAAAAGGATACATTTATTGCACACAGATTTATTCAAATCTTTGCTATATAATACAAGAAAATGCCATAAAATGGTATGTAGCTTGCAGTCAGCCACATTCGAGGGGATGGTGAATATTCTTCCGAAAGATGAATTTGACAACATGGCATTGTCTTTCATGACTAAGTGGTAGCACAGATGCTCCTAACACATTAATTCCTCATAGGTGGTTGCTGTATGATGTTGTTAATGCCATGGATTTAAGTATATTGCACAGCAGCAAAGAAGTATTTTAATTTCTGGAGAATACTTGAGAGCTTTATAAGAAAAAGAAATATTTAACGGTGCACTTTCTGTTTACTGATCAATAATATCTCCTGGGTGGCTGCATCAAGCTTCAGCTTTGGCATTTACTTTCTCTCTTACAGGCATTCCAGATACCTCCATTGAACTTCCCTTGAGAAACAAAGGGAACAGGAGGAAAAACTTGAAACCTGTTTCGAAGTTTAAATAGTGAATCCATCAGCCCGCAGTACCCTTAATGACCACCTCTTACCTTAGTTTGGAAAAGAATTTTAAAAATACAATTAAACTATAAAGAAGTAAAAAATATTACTAATCCTAACTGAGCCCATTGTTGATAAATCAGCTATTCCCTTGAATGCACATCCAGATTCCTCCCCTCCTCTGCAGGCAGAGTCCTTGTCATTAAATGCAGCACTGTAAATGCATGCACACATGGGCTCTGTCTTACTTTGTGCAAGTATCAAGCATCAAACATATCAAAACCAGCAGCTGATGCCCAGTGGCCATTTAAACAGTGAGTTATGTACATAATTTCTGCCGACTTCCATTGGTGTTACACCAAGCACATCTGTAAATCCCACCCGTGTAGGTGGTGGGACAGGACGATGCCTTTGTGCTGCTGAGTCAAGGCCCTCAAGGAGAGCAGGGCTGCGGGCGCTGGGTGCCCAGGACGTGCAGTGCTTTGGCTGCTTCTGTGCAGAACGCAGCCCCGCTGCGGCGCTGCCCCATGAGGAGTGTCCTGCTGCAGAATTTCAGCCTTTTTGGGCTGCCTATAGATGCTATTCATACGGTTACTTTGAGTGCAGCCATGCTGTAGACCTGTAGATTCTGTCGGTGGCTACTTTGTTTAGGAGTACAACTGTTATACGGTCTAGATCACCTACAGCCTGCAATGGGAACAAGTCATGTGCAACTTCCTGATAATCAGGAAGACAAAAAGAAAAAAAACAAACACAAACCCAGCAGATAAAAGCCTCAGTTCTTGGTATTTGCATTTCTGCTTACCCCCTCCTCGGGCTCTAACACTTGCCCCACTAAGTTTAAGACAATAATTTTATTCAGCCAAAGGCCTGAAACTAATTTTAGTCTTAATTTTAGAAACGTCCCCCCCAGAGATGTTATGTCCCTGGCTTTTCTGATCTTTATTCTTGTTTACATCCCAAATACATATTAAATCATCTCTGTTTGGAGAGTCTGAGCCTCCTTAAAGCCATGAAACATTCAATTACTAATTAGCCGTTTCCTGTTCCTAATGAAGTGAACATGTCGGATTTGGATTAAAATTCAGCTACTGCTCTCCTCTGTTTATGGTTCCAGATGTTTTTGTTTTATCTAGGAGGTTACTTTGACAGCTACAGCTAAATGATAAATCACTCATATTATAGCTGAAATGCATTTTGAAATTGAAATGTGGCAAACTTTGAGATTGCTCCGAGGATCAGTGTCAGGTAGCAGGTCAATACTTGTTCTTTCCTTATGAGTGTTCAGTATTGGCATATGTAAAACAGTAATGGGATGGATGTCAACATTATACAAAATGCCTCTCAGTATTATCATTTTGCTATCATCTTCAAGATCAGTACTTGCAGGTTTAGCTGGGTGAATTCATGATTCATTGTATAATGAATAAGAATATGGATTCTTGTTAGCCTTCGTTTCTGTGGCCATTTTAATATGTATTTTTCCTCTGGGCTTAATGCGAAAAATCACAGTTGATAGGTACTATAACTAGGAATATTTATATGAAGGAAAGAAGTGACTTTGTACTTGTTTCCCTAAATAAAGAAAAATAATTTTAAAATAAATGTGGCAGTTTCTGAATGAGAGAACAGTTTTTTCAAAGGACAGATATTGATTTACTTCTGGTTTTTTTTTAATGCAATGCAATTTTGTTTTAGCACACTGTTCCCTAGAAGGTTTTGTGATGTTGTGTGTTGTAAAGCTGATGCCGTGTTACCCGCTCTGATGGAGGCATGCGATACAACGCAGGCTGCCTTCCGAAAAGAAAGCAGGAAAATGAGTGTTCAATTAAAAAGCAAATGCCATAAATGAAGCAAATCCAAGTCAAAGTATTTCTAGCCTCTGCTCGGCAGGTGCTGGCTGGCAAGCGCCGTTGCAAACAGGACCGGTGGGTTTTAGCCCAGCCGAGTGCCCACAGCAGCCGTCCTGCGGGGCTGGGAGGTGGTGCTCAGTGCTCTGAGCCGGCCCCAGGGTTTGGCCACCCCCTGCCCCATTCTCCTGTGTCCAAGGTACTGGTGTGACGGGTGGTTTGTGTCACTTGTAGTTCTGATGATTTGGCTTGAGGGGAAAAAAAGTCACAAACAAATAAGGAAACCCACCTAAGTTTCAATTAATGGTGAAATGTCTGACTGTGCAACTGACCTTTTTTTATTTTTATTTCTTTCCCGCAGAAAACAGAACATACATCAAACCTACTATTATGTACTGAAGGAAACACCTATTGTTGACAAATGTATAATGATCACTCTTTGAAGACTATATAGTTCATGAAAAACGTCCCTTCCAACCTTTGATGCCTTCAGTACTGTGTGAAGAACAGGATTTGTAGCATGAAACTTGAAGGACAATTTCAAGCAGTTTACTGTTGCTGCATCGAAAACTGCCGTATTGTCATTAAGAAATATTGAGACTTTTTACAAGCTTACCATACCAAACCAAGCCTGTTGCAACAGATCATTTTTGGGTCCCTGGAGATAGAAAGGAGTTTTAGTATTTTTAAGCACATACAGGAATTATTCTCCCTTCCCCCACAAAAGAGAAATTTTTTTTGTGTCCTAAGGAGGTAGCTATTACTGTATAGCAATGGCACAATGATTTTAAGCCACAAAGGTCCTCACTGGCTGTACATCATACAAGTCCAGTTTATCACTGAAACTGTTCAACATGGAGCTGTTTCGATTGTGTTTATAAATTAAGCTTTGTTTACTGAAGCAGATACTCGATATATATTACGTTTTAAAAAGAAATGTGTGTACATTTTTTAAAAGAATGATGTAAAAAATTGTCCTTTCATTAGATGACCAATTCAAAAGTGTGAGCTAAACCCTACTAGCTGACGTAACATGAGGATTATAATTGATGCTTTTTTTTTCCTATGCTCAGTTCAGCTTGGCTTTTGGTCTTTTAAGATGAAAAAAATGAATATGCAGTAGAGTGTTAGATAATGGAAACTTTTAAGTATGGTTTCTCTGTTGTACCATATTAAGTTAAAGTACACATTCTTTGTTAAAAATGTTCTTGCTAAAAATACAGTATTAAAAATTTTTTTGTTTGACTTTGGAAATCCGTCAAGTTTGGTTTTTTTTTTTTACTATGAATTCCCACGGTTCCTGTACTAACGCGAAAAAATATTTTGCACTATCGAAAAAAGCTTGAAGAAATTAAGGAGGAAGTTCTTTACTGAGAGGGTCGTCAGAAGCTGGAACAGGCTGCCCAGGGAGGTGGTGGAGTCACCATCCCTGGATGTGTTTAAAGAGCGGGTAGACGAGGTACTTAGGGATATGGTTTAGGGGGTAGACAGGAGCGGTTGGACGTGATGATCTCAGAGGGCTTTTCCAACCGAGCGATTCTGTGATTCTGTGAAATTACTGAATAAAAATAAAGAGGGTGGGTTGGTATTAAACATTTTCCTAATTATTGTATGATGTTCTAAATTCTGGACTTTGCAACTGAAACATCTCTTTCTCAAAATAGGTGTCTGAAAGCTGCTTCGACTTAAGTGGAATTAAGCAGTCACCTGTTCACCCTCTACTTTCATTCATGGGCCAGAGGCACAGTGCTTATTTACTGACAAACTCGTGTTCATGTACACACACTTGTGTTTGCACACAGATGCCCTGAATTAAATCACTGTCACTTAAAAACAAAAGAAACTCCTTTAAATAGATCTCTGGGGAATATATTTGCTATGATTGTATATTCTATCTATATGTATAGCATCGATTTCTTTTTATCACTAGATTGTTTTGTCACCTTTCAAAGTATAGCTTCAAACTATGCTGTGTAATACAGCAAAAAAGAATAACCTGATTTTTTTTCATACCTAAAAGAAAGCTTTTAGCTTAACTAGGTGTCAATTCAAGAAAACATGCTGGCCTCTGTTTTACAGGCAATTAAACTAAATATCAGAGCAGTCTTTCAATGTATAAACATGGTTTATTCCATTTTTTTTCCCAGGCATTCTAATACCTGCATTAATCACACTCCCATTGACGAAACTTTCAGGAATCAAATGATAGGAAGCAACAGGAGCATTAGGAGTTGTGAGCGCGCTTCATAAAAGCTCATGTGTGAGTAGAACACTGCAGCTCCTTAACTTAAATTCTACCTTTGACTATTAATTTGAGTCCCTATTTCATCGTGATTCTCTAAAATGAGGGTTGGACCTAATTTCCAAATCGTATTTTTAAAAAGGACTTGAAAGAGGCCTTAGGATACTGCAGCATTTCTGACTGACTGACCACACTCTGGTACCGCTCCTATGAATTGCAGAGTTTGAGGAGAGATCTTTGATGAATTACCCAGCATCACGCATTTTAGAAAGTAAAGTAGCTTAAAAATACTTGAGTCTCTGAAATGGTACCAGTTTTGCATTTTCCTTTTGCCTTCATAAAGCATTTATTTTCTTCAGTGGCCGATCTACATTTCTTAAGGCTGCGTTGATACTGAGTTGATGAGCACATCATTGATTTCTAATTTGCCCTTCCTGGGATAGTTTTAAATGTCAAAGTACTGCCAAATGAGATTTAGAGAACTGATAAACTTCAGCAACTGAATCTGTTGTTAAGTCCCTATTAGGAAGCTCCTGATAAATATTGACAAACCAAGACGCTGAGGTTTTTAATGTGTCAGCTCAACCTAATGAGCCCACTTGTAGCTAACACTTTTTGTTGGAGAAACATATTAAAGCCACAACAGGCAACAGATTTGGCCAATTACAGTTGAATAGCTCATACAAAAAAGCAGATTTCAATTTTTATTTATTTTTTTTTTATTTCATTTTACTTCCTATCATCTCCTCAGTGCTATTCCAAATGACACTCTCCCCATAGGGATCCGGCTGTGAGTTACACAGACCCAGAAACTTTTATGTAGCTGTTTCTGGCTGCTGCAGTGCAGACCGTGGGATGGTGAGGCCACAGCCAGAGCTGTTTCCCACCAGGGAGTCAGATCAGGCAACACTCACGTGCTGCCATGCTGCGTTTTGGGTATGTCGTTTGCCCACCCAACACATGGACATTCAGGGAAGAGGTGTGATGCTGCAGGTGATTTTTTTTTCTTTTTCTCCATGCAGTACAAAAAGCCCCAGTATAGACTTTGTTCTCGTCAACTGAGTGGCCCCACTGACTGCAGCGTGGAAGCCTCAGGGACATAGCTTCTTTGATGTTTTTGACTTTTGGCTTGGTTTCCTGTGGGGTTTTTTTCAAATTACAACACCTGAGAGAAGCAGAACTTCATGCCCGTGTCCTCAGCACATCCTAAAAGTGGTGGAGCAGAGGGACACTGAAAACCCACGTTGATGCCGTGCATGGGCTGCAGGAGGCTCTGCTGGGGCTGGGTGTTTGCAGGCTGGGAGGGGGGGCACTGCCGAGGTTGGGGCACGGTACCTGCAGCCCCTCTGCATCTGCCCCTGTGGCGGCTCTGGATTCCTACAGAGCGTCCCCTTGTTTGTGCATCGCCTCTGACCTCCCGTTGTGCCCGTGGAGTTGGTGTCAGCTGGACACAAGGTGATCTTGGCTAAACGCAGGCAAGTTAATGGAGGGTGTATTTCAGCAATTTTATGAATCTCGTGTAATGCAGACTGCTATCAAAATAAACTAACAGAATCAATAGTGACCCATCTCAATTTAAAACCTGGATCTATAGTAATATGCAGCGAGAACACTCTCCTTTAGAAATGCATGGCTGTGCATTAAAAGCCGAGTGCCGCTTTAAGCAATCGCTATCTCCAAGTAAATGGCCCATTAATATATTTATTTACAGAATATTTTTGGTAACATGACAAAATGCGGGCTAGCCCGAATTGTTAGGAATTTCCTTCATGGCCTCAGCTGCTCCTGTGCGTGTGGGTGTGTGCGCATGTGTACGGGCTCGGCCCTAAACCACAGCCGTGATAATTCACCTCCTTGCCCGCCCTGGGCTGAGGCTGTGTCTGTGCTGCTTTGCTTTGCTGGAGGGAGGAACAGAGAGGGACAGGAATTGTTTGGTTTTGTTGTTGGTTTTTTTTTTCAAAGCCAGTTTATGTGCTGTCATCATTTGTTATACATACTGCAAATGTTTAGGCACTTGTAAAATCACCATTATTAAACATTTTTACTTTAGTTCTGCCTGCAGATAAGAGTGTCTGATGATTTGAAGCTGGGATGGAAGGGAAGAAAAAAGGTATTTTTTAAATGGTTAATTTTTAGCTGAATTATGAATTACTACAGTTTCATATTTGTACATCAAATAAATCAATGGAAACAAGCCAATTCAGTGTCAGCAGAGCACAAGTGCTCCCTTTCCATTAGACCATCATCCATTTCTGCTTCTGTTGGCCAGCTAATGCTGGCATCTTAATAGAGCATCCTTTGCATGAACACTGGGAGTGTGGTAATCTATGGTAGGGGAAAAAAGTCTTTTTGGAGCTCATTTTTTAAAATAAAGAAGAACTCCGATTATTCTGAGTTCCAGTTAGAAATACAGTAAGATTTTACTGTATCTCCATTCTGTGACCCTGTTGACATAATTCAGAATTACGAAATTAAATACAGCACCATATATTAAAATGCTCTTATGATAACTGATAGTGAACAAATTGGATCTTTTGCTCTAGGAGCAATCCAGCTCTGTGCCGACGCAGCTGGGACAGCCTCTTAGCTTCAGGTTATGATCTGTAAAAACAGCGGTGGGTGAGGCCATACACACACCTGCTGCTCCTGGTAGCAGAGCAAGTGCCCTATAGTCTGGAAAAAATTTTGGCTGGTCAGGAGGATGGTGGAGATGGAACAGGCAGAGAAGTGGCAAGTTCACATTGAACTATCCAAAATGGTCACAGCTTTTATTAGTCACAGTGGGCTTCAGTCAGCCAACAGTGATACGGACGTATTTATGTTTCACCAGAAAGCCTGAAATGAGATAATGGCTAAAAACACAGTCATTCTGAGCAGTGGGTAAAGACATGGCTTCATCATAACACAGTTTGCATCACAGTTCCTGCATAATAAACGTTGCAATACAATACATCTTCCATGAAGTTTGTTAAGAGTGCTTCTGAAGTGCACAGCCTCACAGTTAAGCAGTTGAGTGTCGCAGCATCACATCATGCATACACGGCACCAGGGTGCAGATGGCTTTTGCCTAATTACAAAGGAATTACAAAATTTGCCAATTCTGAGAAATTAATTACAAAATGAAGAAATTTTGCAAAAATTAACAAATATTAGCAAAAATACGAACCGCGACAATTCAGGTTAGCTCACATTTTCTCCTCTCTGCTGGAGAGAGACAGAAGTGGTTGGGGGTCACAGCACACTGACCCCTACACCTTTGGAGGGCTGCATACGGCCATGGTGTGTAGAGCTCCCGTTTTAGGATCGAGACTTTGCCTGAAGCTTTAATCTCATTACCAAAAGGCCACATGCTTAAAATTAATTGTGTCCCACCTCTTCCACCAAAGTGGCCCAACAGAAAAGAAAAAACATTCATTGGCATTTCATGAAACAAGATGAATTAGCTAAAAAGAGAAGAGAGAAGAAACAGGAGTGAAAAATAAATTGCAATTCTTTCCAGTTCCTGTAAGATTTGGCATTTAACTGTAATCATATGTTTCATTCTACATCAGGAAGAAATACCTGTTCTGTGCTTCCCTGACGATTCCTGTCTTTAGCTGAAAGGCTGTTTATTCCCAGAGCTGTGCTGCCATCAGTTGATGATGCTGGGGCACTTACAGAGATGTTTTGGCAGGAAAAATGCTTTATCATTTATAATATTATTGTGAAACAGTTGGGTTTTGGTTTGGTTTTTTTTTTTTGTAGACCAGTCTAAAGGAATTCCATATAAATTGCTGCATTCTCTCCAACTGGGTGAGAATTGAGGGGACAAAAAAGTAAGAAAACAGACAAAAAATATGCTAGTAACTTAAGTAACAAGGAATAAGCTCCCTATTGGAGTTTTTTTATTAGTTCTATAAAACTGGGGAAGACAGAAACGGTACTCAGAGATTGGTGGTGTCAGATCAGTGCCTTGCATTTTATGTGATCATTTACACCTGTGCAAAAGTAAGTATTTGATAGT